AGCCTCCCCCTCCCCCCCTCATCAACAGCCTCACAATCTCCCATTCCTATCTGTAGCACCTGCAGTCTAAGGGGTAGCTAGCTTGGCAGGCCCACCTGATCCTATCGTCTCTGAAATTAGTCAATATCTTGCCAGAGGCACAAGTTATGGGGACCAATTCCAATACCGGAAATCCACCTAGCTAAGGAACCTGATCCAGTAGTTTCTGCCTTGTGTCAGAGAAATCTGGTTCTTGGACTCAAGTGAGACAGTTCTGCCTCTCTCTCCTTCCCAAGATTGCGATAAGACTGCGGGGATGTCATGCATATCCAGCACACTCAGCTCCAAATGGGAAACAAACTCCTAGTGTTCTGCATTTATCAGGCCTGTCACTACATGGTTAGAGCAAGAGAAAAGGCATTTCATGGTGTGCATCAGCTGTACAAGAAGTCGGTTATGCTGTTAAAGATGTGAATGTAGTTTATACAAAACTGATGAAGTCCTATGACTCTAATTCCTATTGGGTAGGAATCTGTTTGAAATAATAATATTATGCAAATCTTTGGAAATACATTTGAAGCATCTGGGGTAGGACATATTCTAATTTGCCTCTTTTGGCAGCTTTCACCGATGATGACATCACCAATGATGTTGATTGTGCTAAGAGAATTGTGCAGGATCCCAATAAGATGGATGCCTGGTGAGTCAGTCTCTCATTAATATCTTTCAACTTGCAACATTCAGTAGCAACTGAAACTATTGTTGTGGTCATCTAAGTTAATTAACTTTCTTTTGATTATTGTACAACTTTTAGCATTGGTGGTAAAATGCAATTTCTGAATATGGAAAGTTGTCTTTTTATTGCTACACTTACATTCTGGTTGCTAGAATAGGGTTTAACAGTCTTTTAAACCCAGGGTTAAAAGTAGACTGACACACACCTTATGGAGGGTGGGGGGTGATGCTCATTGTACCTGGATAATTCCCTTTCATTTCACATCCATTATCCACTTCGGTGCTTGTCAGCTGTTTTAAGATCTTTTTGGACACAGGTTCAGCACTGGGGCTTAGCACAGAGTTGGGACAGATAGCAGAAGAATTTGGCAGATGGCTTTTTAAACAGCAGGACTCTGATCCCGTGGATGAGCTCCACAGGATCAGAGATCTGGTAGGGAAAGAACATGGTGGTGAGAGTAGCCCGGAGAGACGACTCATCAAGCCTCCAATCCTGGGATGAAAAGGAAAGGGGTCTGCAGCAGCAGATCATTAGATGGGAAACCCTTAAGCTGGCAATGAGTATCTAAAAGCAAACAATAGAGATGTTATGTGGTCCACAATCAGAATGATTTAAAACTTCCTCTGCTGTGTGCCCTTCTGATGCATTCTAAGATTTTGTACATGATTTTGGGAGCCCTCTGGTGCTCACCAAATACTTTGCACTTTAACTCCCTTTAGTCCTGACTAGCATGGACTCTGGAAAGGTTATTTGGGAGTCCAAAGTATCTATTGGGCCTCAGTTGCATGTGGGCTTCATTGTGAGAAATAGAATGTCAGGGCTATTTTAGCTAAAACAATTATTTTTCCTTTGATTTTAACCTGGAATTTGTTGGAAAACTAGCACAGGAACTTTATCAGTCAATGAAAACGAAAGATGAATGATCGTTGTCACTAGCTCACCTGCGAACTTCCTGAATCTCTTGAAGTAGACCTACAAGAAGCATCTGAAGACATGCAATATTCTTATTCTTACTTTCAGGGTTGCCTGGAGAAACCACTGCAAAGGAAGAGATCTGTCAGAATGGACTCGTGGCTGCAAGCTGTAAGATTCATGATCCTGCATTTCTCTTCATCTTCCTGTGATGAAAATGATACTATTCCTTGTATAATCAACGTTTAATAACTCGATTCTATGCTGGTATGCCATGTGTTGGGAAGAATGGGTTTTTTTTGCATACAAGTGATGCTTTTATAAAATTTCTGGATAGAAAAGAAAGTGTTTTGGTTATAAACATCCTCAAAAAGTGCTTGACATTTTTCAATAAAATGAGTCTTGTGCATTTTGCCCTTCTCTGTCTCATGCCTTATTTATTTCATTTCATCCTTCATTATTCCCACATAACTGAACTGGCCACTGATCATTCCTATGGCGGAGGAGACCTGTGCAACCAAGTACGTAGCTGGTTCAAAGCCCGCCTTCACTTAACGAAGATCCTGATGCATCTCTTAATACAATTAAGAGTAAATTGGTTAATTAGTAAACTACCTTGAAATTGTTAGATGAAAACTCTAGGTTGGCCTCCAAGGCCAGACCATTTCTAGGTTAACCTCCAATTATATGAAGACTTGGATTTTGCTCTACACTATAAGAAAAACTGATGCTTGAATTTAGAATTTGGTGGCGATCTTACTCTCATCCATTTAGCTGGCAAATAACAGAGTGTCCAAAGAAGAGGGCAACATCTACAGATTAATGATACAGGCCAAATTATTGTGATTTCTGCCATTCCAAACTCCTCATTTCATCTCCTCTTAACATCTGGATATGCTGCTCTGTTAAATCCAGTCTATTCTGTACACCCTCAGTTCTAGGTTGTAGTCAACAAGTCATGGTCCATCCTGTGATCCCTTGATATGTAGAAGTTTGAGAGGATTGCAGTATATTCTCTTCTAGTAAATTTATGCATAAAACAGCAGGCAGCGGATGGCAGCAATAGGTTGTGGCAGCTCCTGGCTAATTTGAGGAATATTAAGCAAGGTTCAACCTGCTAAATCTCCCAGTCTGCAATAATGTCAATCAGAAAGATAACTGATATTTAGAAAATTTCCTCTTCATCCCAGGATTGGAGGCTTGATGAGTCGTCTCTCCCTGCTTCTCTCACCACCGTGTTCTTTCCCTACCAGGTCTCCGATCCTGTGGAGCTCATCCACGGGATCAGAGTCCTGCTGTTTAAAAAGCCATCTGCCAAATTCTTCTGCTACCTGTCCCAACTCTGTGCTAAGCCCCAATGCTGAACCTGTGTCCAAAAAGATCTTAAAACAGCTGACAAGCATAGAAGTGGATAATGGATGTGAAATGAAACTCAAGGAATTATCCAGCTACAATGAGCATCAAACTCAATGAGCATCAAAAGTTGTGTGTCAGTCTACTTTTAAACCTGGGTTTAAAAGACCATTAAACCCATATTCTAAAGCAAGCAGAATGCAAGTGTAGCAATAAAAAGAAAACTTTCCATATTCAGAAAGTATATTTTATCACCAATGCTAAAAGTTGTATAACAGTCTGAAGAAACTTAATTAACTTAGATTACCACAACAATAATTTCAGTTGCTTCTGAATGTTACAAGTAGAAAGATGTTAATGGGAGATTGACTCACCAAGCACCCCTCTTATTGGGATCCTGCACAATTCTCTTAGTACAATCAATATCATCTGTGATGTTATCATTGGTGAAGGCTGCCAAAAGAGGCAACTTAGAATATGTCCAACCCCAGATGTTTCAAATGTATTCCCAAAGATTTGCATGATATTATTATTTCAAACAGATTCCTACCCAATAGGAATTAATTAATTAATTAATTAAATTTGTATGCTGTGCATCTCCCCAAACGGGTGACTCTGGGTGGCTCATCAGAGTTCATTAGTTTTACATGCAATACATTCACATCTTTGACAGTATAAAGTACTTTTTGTACAGCTGGTGCACACCATAAAATGCCTTTACTATTCTGATATATGAGGATTGTATCATGGAGTATATGTCTTACGTACTTCTTATAGAGCTGATTACTATAGTTACATCAACTGATTGAACTGAGAATGGTATCTTGGTTTGATAGATGGCAGATGGTCCGCTTAAACAGCTGTGCCTTCCACTTTAGTCCCATTCCTTAAGCAATTCACAATTTCAGAAAGTACTCTGTGTGTGCGCTTGTGTGTCTGCGCGGCGCAATATCCCACTATGGGTTTACTACATTATGTGTCAGGGCTTCGTTTCT